GCCAAAAACATGCACACCAGCCTGCTGGAGGTCATTCTGTAGGGCTCTGGCAGTGTTCCTCCTGTTCCTCCTCGCACAAAGGAGCAGACACCAGTCCTGCTGCTCAATTGATGCCCTTCTACGGCCCTGTCCAGCTCTCCTCGTTCAGCGTAACCCTGAGTCACTTACTATGGCAACATAGGCTACTCCACCGAGGCTTATCGCTTGCTGAGTGTGTGTCAGGAAGGAGAAACATGGCGTGTAATTTTCTGAATTAAGTCGTGGACGTTGAGGCACAGTTTATTCACAGGCTGTTGGGTAAGGAGAAGGTGATTAGATCCCGTTTGGATTGGCAATTTCACCTCACAGTAAATCATTTATCTTAAATGGTATATGGTAAATGGACCTACATTTGTATAGCGCCTTTCTAGTCATCCGACCGCTCAAAGCACTTTTTACACTACCAGTCACATTCACCCATTCACACACAGATTCATACACTGGTTGCCAAGGCTACCATACAAGGTGCCACCTGCTACTCAGTTTAAACACACTCATACACGATTGAATAGCTATCGGGAGCAATTTGGGGTTCAGTATCTTGCTCAAGGATACTTCGACATGCAGACTGGAGGAGACAAGGATCGAACTGCTGATCTTTCGATTGGTGGATGACCTGCTCTACCTCTGAGCCACTTAACAATCTGTTCCACTATTATACCAAATATTGCACATCGTGGATTTGCATTATCATTGCAGCAAATTTTATACTTTGCCCTTTGATTCTTCTGCGGCGGCAGTTTTCTTTCTAACATCACAGATACATCGGCAAGACAGCGGTTTGTCGGGCCGTAACAAACGTGACTCTGGCTCTGGTTTTAGCCATTTTCCTTGGGCACAAATCAGAAAGCATTATCAAAGAAATGTCTAGAGGGTCATCGGTGGCTTGGTGGATGGAGCGGGCATACCAAGTACCGGAGCTTAGTCCTTGTTGCAGAAGCTGCGGGTTCAATTCCAGCCTGTAGTCTTTTGCTGTGTGTCATACCCTCTCCCCCCTGTAAACGCTACGCTGTCCTGCCATTAAAGAAAACGAAAGACAAAAAAATAATCTTTAAAAAACAAACAAAGATGAATTCCACAGAACCACAGGTTTGTCAGTGTTAATCAGAAATTAATCTATGTGGACACATTATGCAGTGATTCATGAATACTCTATATTCAAAGATTCCGCATTGCTATAGGCTGCATTTATGGGACTCAGCATCCCCATCATAGCTCCATCTGAGAATAAAGATTACGTGAGTCAAAAGTTATTTCACAGCAATTCAATTAACATAAGCCTAATACTGACAGAATGAAGTATGAGCAAAACTTTTACCAGTCTGTACACTATTTTGTGTTTGATTCTGAGTTGCTGCCAAGTGCGTCAAGGGCCCCATGAGATTACAGCCGAATAAGAGAATAAAGCAAATTATATTAAAACATATGAACATTGTTTAGATTTAAAAATGTTTCTAAATTTTCTGTTTATTAGACACATTAATTCATCACTTTACATTACATCACTTCACATTACCTATTACCTATTTTTCATGTCAACATTTGCGGTCATTAAAATCTCTGATTCAGTTGGGATGTAATAAGTGGCTCTGCTTCTAACTCTGCTTTCTGCCAATGAATATCATGTTATCTGCACTCCATTGATGATGGCTTGGGGTGCTCGCCGTGAACGCGCTTCCCTCAGGCTGAACATAGTCAGAACTGATCTAATTCTGATCAGCTGTTTTGGAGCCGAAAACTCAGTTTCCCAGCTCAGGCTCAGTCAACTCGGGATTAGGCTCAGAGTTTGTTGAGCCTGCTTTCTGACATAGGGCCCAGGTTAAGAAAAATCTGATACTTTTTGGTTCCAGCTGAGAACAAGCTTTGCAGGATTGCAATTTATTTTTGGTCAAAATGCTCTGAATGGTTTAAAATTAGGTGCCAGAACCAGAGTGGAATCAGTTCCAGTGTTGGTGGAAAAGGGTAAGAATGGTCCAACACTTTGACCAATGAGTCTGAATATTCTTAGTGAAAAGAGTCTGAGGAGCTACATATAGAGAAGCTAGTCTTATTCTTCAGTGCTGACTACAGTGACTTCTTAGTGCTGTACAAGAATAATTTAATTATGTCTCGCCACAATGTCCCACTGAAGGCTGCATTAGTCATCACAGCTTCATAACCACCTTGTCATAATAACCCTCTGAAGGACTTTACCTGATTTCTAGGGATAGTCCTGCATCTGCATCTCTTCTACAGTTATTCATGTTATGGTTGACAGAAATGAACCCAATATCAAAATGTAAAACACACACACAGGTTTACAAAACAACATATTTCCAAGAAGTTTTCTTTATTGTTGATTTTCATATAAAAAGCAAGTCCACTATAAAGGTAAAGCAATTTTACAAAAGAAGAGAACAAGAAGCGACAGTACATACATTAACATCATTTTCTGGAGTATGTTCAGGTTGAAAATCATCACTTTAAAAAGACACCATTGGTTCTTGTCAGCTTGTGTTTTTTTTCCCCCCTCTACAACTCCAAAACATTCCCAGTAAAATGGAGGCTCCAGTCTGCTGACACTGATGCAATGTGAGGCACGGTGCAAACAGAAGTAACAATGGGAACAATCAGTCCCTCATGCACAGGGTACAGTATGAGCTATCTATGTTTTAGCATGCAGATGAACACTGGTGCACATAACCGATCCGAACCGGTAAGTAAGATCACAACACAGAGTCTACATGCCAAAATCAAACCAACTCTCCGATTGGCTGCAAACACACGACAGCTCTGAGCAGCTGCAACTGTCTGAGCAGCACACCAGAGTCCTGCACCAGGTCGGGTATCCGTGGGTACAGGTGCGGGTGCAGGTTTTCATAAATGGAACTGTGCAGGACTCTGAAGCACACAGCAGAAACATTAGCAGGGTTTGTTGTGGTTTGATTTTACACATGCGCACTGGTTATTTCAGTCATGTAAAAATAGTAACATCAGCCTCAGTATACCAAAGTTGCTAAAACACTTTGATGTGACTCATTAAAGCCTCTCTATATAGGTTTTACTGACAAAGATTATTGCATCTTTTAAATGATTCTGACAGCACAAGACATTTTGTTTGCTTATCAATTCACACCACCCCAAAGACAGCTTAGACTTTTTTTCCTTCATCTGTTTGGGTACTCTCACTATCAGTCATTAGAACTGTTCAAACCCTTCACATAAGGGTATTTTGTACTAATTCTGGGTTATCATTTACCCACCCTACAAAGGTTTGATGTGCAGGGCCAGTTTGACTTAAATAGTCTATAAAATAATAACAAAAGTAGTAAAAAAAAAGGCCCATCTTCTCAGAGCCCATGGTGATATCTTCACTTCTTATTTTGTTTGACTAAAACCCAAAGATACCAAATTCACATTGATATCTGACAAAGAAGAGCAGTAAACCCTCTCATTTTAGAAGCAGAAAAACTATGACACTTTTTCACTATTTTTGCTTGAAAAATGACTCAAATGATTTATCGATTATCAAAATATTTTAGGTTGACTTTTCTGTTGCTAAAATAGTTGACCAATCGACTAATTGTTTGAGCTGTACAGGACATCCTGCCTCAGGAATCCCAACCTCTCCTCATGTGGAACATCAAGAATAATAGGTGTTTTTCCCAACAGACACTTTGAGCCCATTTACACTTGTTCACTTCATATGTCTTGAGTGGATCAGAAAGTGTTACAGTCTAAAATAAAAAAGTGTTAAATGCATCGAAGAAGCATTTGAGGTAGGTGGAGATCTGATTATTCAAACCACCTCCAGAAGACCTTCGACACACATTCTAGCCAGATGTTGAAAATGTCCAAATACGTCCATCTCTCTCATCTTTACTCCTCCTATAATGTAACTATGTCAGTAAGTAGTGTGTGTGTGTATATATCCACTCACTGTCTGATTTTCTTCACATATCCACGCTCTGCCTCCTCTATTCTTGAGATAACGGCAGCTGAAGGTAGCATTAGCCAATATTCTCTCTCTCATTAAAGCAACAAAGAAAAACATCTCCAGCTTTATATACACATACAATAAAATGCAGGGTGCATCGAGATGCTGTAGAGTTTATCTGATACCTGATCAGTTCAACCACTAAATGATCTGTGTGGGAGAGACAGCACTGATCTGTGTGGGTGAGGACGACAAAAACTATTCTCTTGCTTGTAGTTAATACATTCATTTATATGTTTGTGTTGGCTTATGGACAACTGCTAGCTAACTATAGCTAAACTGTTATAACTAAACTGCTAAAGTGCAGAAGTTCTGCTTCTTCTGGTGTTTTTGACAGTTACCAAACATTACTACCTACTTCTGGACTGGCGGATTGCTGACCCTGCTGGGAAAACAAACATAGATTGTAGTCAGATTTGTGATCTGGCCAACAAGGGAAAATTTGTGGCTCAGTGTTCAGTAAATTAAAGGGATAGTTTGAATTTTCTGAGGTGGGGTTGTTTGGGATACTTGTTCATAATCATAGTCAGGGAAGCTTAGCAATGTACTGCTGTAGAGGGGTCAGGAACAAAATGTATTTCAACCACCACCCCCAAAAAGTTCCCACCTAAAAAAACAAAAAAACAAATCAATATCAGTTTATGTGTACTCTATATTAACAGTATTTTTACCAGGAAGCCATTAACAGCTTTAGTTCCCAATCTTTGCTCTCCTCAAAGCCACCAAACTCTATAGACAAAAAAGTAATTTTAGCCAACTGACAACAGAAGATGCTGGTTACCGCTGTTTTGATCAGTTACTTAGTTTGACTTACTGTGACTTTGGTGAAACCATCTAAGCCCTTTAAACACCAAAGTCACACAAATACACAAACAACTTAACTGTTTGAGGCAGTGGTAGACCAGCAGCTTCTGTGTTCAGCAATGTTAAATCTCTGTTCTCTCAATGGAGTCTGGCTTTGAAGAGAGCGATATCATGTCTTTATTTATTGAATTTTATTTAAAATCACTGTCTGACATTAGCGTGAAACAGTGAAAATATTATCAATATAGCATACATTTATATTGATATGGAATTCTTTTTTAGGTAGCTAAAATACAATTTGTTGCTGACCCCTCCACAGCAATACTTTGCTTAGTTTCCATGTTGGACTCCCGCCTGCATCTCCAAACTGGGGGCATGCCGACTGACATCTGCTGTAGGTAATATACTGACTATTGATAAGTGCCTTATACAACCCCACTTCAAAAAACTGAACTATCCCTTTAAAGTGTCTTCAATATCAGACATTTAAAATTACAAGTGTAAATGGGGCCTTTAACTTGTCATAGCAGGAAAAGCATAAGTATTAATAATATTACAAATGACTTCATTCCATCCAGAGCCATTGATATTGGTATTGGGAATCAATAAGACTTTTCTTTCCAAGGTGTTCATAATGTCTGCTGCAAAAACACCTATAGTGCAATAGTAACGTCGATAAAGACAGGATCTAATTTCAACTGCTCAGTCACAGATATTTCAGTCTTTTCAACTGGAGTTTTGACCCTGGCAGACAGAGAAACCCGCAGACCTGTAGTACAGGAGTGATAAAGGTCTGAGGATATGAAAATGACTGCTGGAGAGTTGCCCTAGTGATGTCATATAACTGCTGTCCATACTGTATTCATACAGAATCATTAAAATCAGTCATTGCTCTGCAATGCCAAGAGTTTTGAGTTGACATGTGTAGAGTGAATGTTGCATGGTATGGTGTGTGTGTAACAGTAATTTAGGTAACAGACATCAGATCAACCTCCTTCAATTAAAAAACACTGCCAAACAGTGATGTTGGGTTACATTTGAACTGCTGCTATGACTAATGTGCTGAAGGCAAGATGAAACATAATTACGGAATGCCTGGATGTATGTGTTGTGTTCAATCAGTGAGGTGCCCATGGAGACTGACCACATGTCAGTGAGTGCAGTCATGTTTACAGGAACATCCAGATGCTTCATTGATGCTTTAAGGATGACCTGTGTGTGTGTGTGTGTGTGTGTGTGTGGGTGTGTGTGTTTATGTAACTCTGCGTGTATTTACTTGATCATTTCAGAGTAACAGGAGTCTCCAGAGGACACATCATCCGATGCAGCTTTCTACCAGGAAGGAGCGGTGTTGGCCAATCGTCTCATACGCCTGCATAAACACAGTTTACTCATGTTACTTCAAGAATTGTACACAAACTAAAATAATGATCTGAGCATCTGAATTATGATTCTCTAATTAGACAAGACTAATATTTTATCATATAGTGGAATAATGTGGACTAAATAAACATACAAAGATGTCTTTGTGTCTATAAACAAATTTAGTGAAAACTTTGAGTCTGTTTTCTCTGAGTGAGTGCTTGTGTGGTGAATGAAAAAAGCCATCATTAATGGAGCTCTGATACTACTATTCACCATGGCAATGGATAAATAAAAAACAGAGCCTCCATTTTAATACAGTGGGTTTATAGAAATGTTAATGTGGGGAGATTAGTCTGATTTTTGGCAGCTCAGAAATTTTCGTTGGCTGCCTGCAGTCAAAGCAGTTTGATAGTCAATTTCCTAGGGACTAACGATATTGGATTTTTTTTTGCCCCCCTTTTTTTTGTTCTAAATGCCGATATATAACAACTCATTTGTCAGATAACTGATACCGATATCGACATCAGCTTTTTCCCCTGCCTAGTTTTAGTGATCATCAAGTCTCTTCTGTAGTGGAATTAACATCATATTATGCATGCATACTCTTGTCGTGATAGCCCACCGGCAGATCGAAACATTAAATACAATACTTTTCAATGTCTGTAATATTAATTCATTGTGCAAAATAAAAAAAAATATGTTGGGCGGTTCTAATAGTTCATTTTAAAGCTGATATTGGCTGATACAGATGACATGCCTATATCATCGTGCATCCCTACAATGGGTGTGTCACACAAACTTGGGAGTTTTTACCTGGGACATGCTGTTTGTGTCCCATGTGAAACCATAAGTCAATCAAGTTATTCTAGTAACAGCCTAGTCGGGGTAGGAATCAACAGAGGCCCCACACTACGATATTATCACGATACTTATGTCATGATACCATATTATTGTGATTTTAAAAGGTGATATATTGAGTACTGCAACGAAATATATTGCGATTTACCTTTTTTTCAACTGTAAATTATGTCCCTTGAGGAAAACTTTGTCATCAATTTTATCTTATAAGATAAAGTTTTCAGTCTGTTCATCTCACTTTAGTCATTTTTAGTGCAGCAAAATGTATCAAGTAGACTGAGTACAAGTAAGCTACTTGTAATATTAATAAATTATATAGTAAAAAAACAACAACAAATAAGCATCAACTCAGAGTTTGTTAAACCAGCTTTCTGAAGCACGTCTCTGATGCTTACGCAAGCAGCCCCACTGAATGCGAGCCTACTGATTGACTCACACAGTTGTCAATCATGTTGTCCTGTTTTATCGCATTAAATAACTCATCAAAACCAAATGAACACTTGAATTTATGGCAGCGTGATAAGAACTACCTTAAACTATAATTGGAAAAAATGTATCTGATATGTACTTCGAGTTTTTAGTTTAACTAAAGAGGGCAGGGTTTATGACCTGTACTCCAGCCAGCCACCAGGGGACGATCCAGATGGTTTGGCCTCATTTTTGGGGAGCTGCCATGTGATCCATCTTTATATACAGTCTATGTATTAGCCCTTCTGTTTACTAAAGATAATCCCTCATGAAGCCGCTGTCAATATACTGCCGTCAATTTTCTTCTTTCAAATGTCACTGAAAGAACAGATCTTTAGTCAGCCCAACAAACCTCAGGTAGCATCAGGTACAGTAGAGTAGATACAAAGTTATTGACTGTATCTGACCTGCTATCTGCATCTGACTATCTCACCTTGTGTTCCTATCTTGGTCTCGGATCTTCTTCTCCATTTCAGCATCTGTGAGGGTCTCCAGCAGGGGACACCACTGGTCTGCATCACCTGTGTTGCGGATGGCAATCTCTACTGTTGGGAGTGGGTTCTCACTGTGAGCAAATTACAAGTGGGGCAATAATGAATCAGTCCAGCATAAAACACAAAAGATCATCAGCTCAGAAAGGGTAAAATACCATATAGAAAGTTAGGGATGAGGCTGAAACACTTTGTTAGATAAAGTGGGGTCTGACAGTCAAAGTCAATAAAAGTTTGCAGTACTTATTTAAAGGCAACCCTCTTTAATTTAGTCTATGCCCAAGGTCTGCCTTAATCAAAATGTGTTTAGACCCTTTTGATTCGAACAGCTCTGTTGAAGTGAGTAAGCTACCTGAAGGCATAGGTCCTCTGGTGCCAGCTGAGCTGACCACGAATACTGTAGGCGATAGTGGTGACAAACTCTCCGCCCAGACCCAGCTCAGAGCACAGCTTCAGTGCAAAAGACTCTGGCGAGTTCTCTCTCTCTGACATGTCCCACTCAAACTGGTCCACCAGAGAAATGTTTCCCACGTGGATGTTCAGCTGAGGAATACAGAAAAATTAACATTACAGCAGCCTCGTAACTGTCTCAGTCTAGTTCCTGAAGAGAACATGACATTCTTCCATCACTGAAAGAAAAACAGAAAGTAGTCTAGGCCTAGTCTATGTGTGCAAGACATTGGAGGGATCTTCCTAGAGTGGAGGTTTTCAAACTGTGAGGTGCCTCCCCAGGGGGCATGAAGGGAGAGACATGAGGCAAAGATACTGTGTGAGCTACAAAGGACAGGTGCAAGCAGGTCTTCTAAACACAACAAGAATTTAGTTGTTGCAGTCTGTCCCACTGATATGACACACTTCTCAACATAGTCAGCAGTTGGAGCAGCAGCAGCTGTGACACAGATTATGAAGGCTTTAAAGTTATCTTAAAACAGGGGCTGCAGTCAAGTCAAATTCTTAACAGAGGTCCACTGCCAGCTGTGGGGACGGTGGAGAGAAACTGTTTTAAACCGTGACAATTTCTTGCAGTCTACAAATTTGATCTTTTCTAAACACTTAATCTGCCTGATTATCTTTATCATCATCATTCTCTGTCTCAGCAGCTCCTCTGCCTTCTTTCTACTGAACTCACCATTAAACTTTACTACCATCTACTGGATTTTAAAATGAATGGCATTTATTCCGCCAAGGCCAAATGACCTCTCTTGCAATGTTAACTAAAGTAAAAATTAATTTGTGTAAGATGATAAGATCCAATCCAACAACTTCATAGCTCCTTCCTTGGCTCATGCTATGCCCATCCACCAGGTTTCATGAAAATTGGGCCACTAGTTTGTTTTAGTCTGTAACCCTGCTAGCAAACACAAAAAACACATCCTCCTTGGCAGAGGTAACAAGACGTTTTCAGGACCTTAATCACAAACTCAAGACCATTGTCAATACTTACAGTTGAGAGAAAAAAACTGAACTATAATTACCACCCCGTGGTTGAATGCCTTCACGCACCAGTCAAGTTTCTCTAACAGTTTACATCCATGTCTGTGAGAACGTGGATGCTTCACACACATTTTACCCCCGACAGCACAGAAGATCTATACAATCAGCAAATGTCTCCCCTTCTGTTCCTGAGATATGACATTGAATAATGGCCAGAAAAGTGTTTAATGCAGACATTATTATGTCACAGTGAAGCTGACCTTTGACCTTTTGGAAATAAATTATCATCACTTCATTAATTTATTCTATTAGACACTGGTGTAAAGTTTTGTCATAATTGGCATATGAATTCTTAAGTTATGGCCAAAAACATATTTTGTGAGATCACACTGACCTTGATCTTTGACCACAAAATTCTAATCAGTTCATACTCGAGTCCAAGTGGACTTTTGTGCCAAATTTTAAGAAATTCCCTCAAGGTGTTGAGATATCATATTCACCAGAATGGGACAGACAAGTTCGCAGTGACCATGACCTTTGACCTATGACTACCAAAAACTAATCAGTTCATCGTTGAGTCCAAATGGACATTTGCGCCAAATTTGAAGAAATTCCCTTGCGGCATTCTTGAGGTATTGCGTTCATGAGGATGGCACATACGGACAACCTGAGAACATAATGCCTCTGGCCATGGCTGCCATCAGCACAGAGACATAAAAAATGTGTGACGTCTTGAGCAGAGAATAAAGTCACACTCCCTCTGTGTGTGCTGTAATCTGAGGTTCCTCGTTCTTCATTGAGGTTGCTGGTCTGGCCACGCATGCATATTTGTGCATGTGAGTCAATGGCTAGCTCATCACCACTGCTCATACGGTGGTTACTGCTGATATCAGGACAGTGTCATTGTGGCAGCGTAGCACCCACTGGTTCCCTTCCCATGTTAACACTTAACTCTGTCAGCACTGTTGCAGTTGTTGGCACTGTATGCACTGTTAGCACCATTAGCTGCTAGCTGCAGGATCAGCCACCTCTATGTTGAGAACTGAGAACAACCTGAATCAAAGATACTCTCTGAATGTCATACAGTGCTCCTTTATTTCCAAAAAATTCAACGTTTCCACAAAATGGGAAACAGAAGTTGATCTGATAATTACACAGGAGATGTGGGTGGAGATATTTAGACAACAGTGGAAAACAACAAGCTCTACATCTTGGAGAGAATTCAGCTGGAAGAATGTTATTTGTTATTTCTGTACTCATGCCCAAAGGAAGTCTTATTCAGCTCAAACCAGCTGCTTGAGGTCTTGTAAGGACAAAGATGTAAATCACTTCCATGCATGTTGGAGTTTGGAGAATTTTATTTTTGATTTTTTTACATAATGTTCTTTATTTCAGTTTAGATGTACCTGATTAAAGTGGAGGAGCATGAATGAAGGAAGAGGGATAAATATTTGTTGGTGGCTGCATGAAATTCCTAATGAAGAAAGATTGACCCGGTGTTTATTATGGTGAGAAATTACTTTTACCTTGAGACTTCAGATGGATGCATTTATTGAAAACTGGACAAAATGGATTCTTTATATCTAAACATTCAGACCAGACTTTGTGTAAATGTGCACCAGGAACACATTCCAGTGTAATTCTAAGTCTTCAGTTGTTAGAGTTCATGCCCAAAGGGCTAGAACCCTATTGTTTTTGCCCAGGTTCATGATTATTTGTCATCCGCCATGAAACCAAAAATTCCCATGAGCTGAAAACGTGAAACTTGGCCACATGAGGGCACTGTAATTAACAATTTGAAATGCTAGTTTCAAAAGGTCGCGTCCCTCACACCGTAAGGCCGATTGATTTGAAATTTGGCACACACATGCAGCTCAATGTGCCCTATGAAAAAGTCTCTTGGACCATTAAGCTCCTCCTAACTACATTTTCTGCCATTTCAAATTTTTTGAAAAACATTTAAATGAATAAAACTTGATGAATTTACGTGTATCAAAACCAGAATTGGCACACACCATCTTGGGATGAAAATACAACTTTCTATTATAAACGAGAAAAAATGGTCAAAAAAACATGGCTGCAATAAGCAAAAATTTTTTTTTTTTGCAAAGGCCAAGGCTTAGAAAAAATTGGCCTTAACTCTTACACAGTTTGTGCAGTCCTCACAAATCTTGGTAGACATGCTCAGTACATGTTAGAGAAAAAGTGTACCAGAGCATTTTGATCCAGACCCACAGTGGGTGCCAAACATAAAAAATGTGTTCCTCAAATACCAGTGGTCAGAATTTCAACAATTTTGGGTTGCATGCTCTGGGTCCAAGTATTAACCAAAATTTCAAGTGCCATATTGATAGGTGAAAGTGGGTATGGTCTATTAAATTTTAACTTGTGACTTAAGATGACTTTGACCATTCCGAATGAAACTCACTGGAGACATCTGGAGTTGTGTTCTGAATACACATGCCAAAAATTACACCAATCGCCAAGATGGTAGCACTGTAATTAAGGCCAATATTAGAAAGGCCATAACCCTCACACCATAAGCCCAAATAATTTGAAATTTGACACACAAATCCTGCTCACATTGCTCTATAAAAATGCCTCTTGTAATGTCAGGATTTGCTCATTGGATTGTGTGCCATTTTCAATTGTTTTAAAAACTGTCAAATGAATAAAACTTGATGAATTTTGAGTTTACCAACATGAAATGTGGTTTACAGCTTCTGTGGATGAATATACAACTTTCTATAACAAATGAACAAGATCAGTAAAAAAACATGGCTGCAGTTCATGAAAAAACCTCGCCAAAGGCGGGGCTTAGCAGGAAAAGGCCATAACTTGAATTTCCTTTAAGAAATCCTAATTAAAATCAGTGGACACATCAAGTACTAACATGGCGACTTTGAGGGGGCCTGTTTTTGAAATTCTTCATACACTGTAATGGTGGGACAAGTTTATCATCAGTCTTACTCCTTTTCAGACAGATATAAACAAGCTGAAGTGACTTTGCTGAAAACCCGCTTGGTGCGGCCAACGCAAGCTCCCTCTTGAAAGGGCTTTAACCCTCAGATTGACGCTTGCGGCTATATATGCATATGCATGTTGTTTTCTTCATGTTTAAAAAGTCTTCATTTTCAAATTGTGTTAATTTTGTTCACTCTTTCCTTAAAAGACAATAAAAAGAGAGTTACACAAAAAGCCTGTTCTGGTAGATTCTTCTAAAGCTACCTGATATTCCCTGAGGATTGTTGTTCTTTTGGTTCAGTACCCACCTTGATGATGACTCTCTGGTCTGCCTGCTCTTCCAGTATGCTGTCAGTGGGGTAGGATTCAATCTGCTGACGAATGGCTGAGGCAATAGCGGGAACAAAGGCCAGAGGATTCAGGTCCAGGTCATCACATAAAATCTCTGCAAACATCTCTGGGGTCATCAGTTTCTCTGAAGAGGGGCAGATATGTGAGGTCAGATTGTTTAAATTAAATAACTTGACATAACAGGAAAAAAAATATTGTGGATGTTGGTAAGCTAGGAGGCATCTATATTTACCATTCATGTTCCATGTGAAGGCATCTCGCAGTTTCTGTCCATCTATCTCCATGTCTAGACGAATGGGAACCAGTGCCTCGACCTGAGCTGCGTTCTCATGGATCACTGCAGGGTCGTGGTCGTCAAAGCTGAGACACAGAGCGAGGCACGAGACACAAAAAAACTCAATGTTGGATCATTATTGTTCATCCAAGCAATTCCTGATGTCATATTAACGAGACTTGACCATTAACACATCAACATCAGGACTGCTTGAACGATAGTTTAAAGTAAAGGATAGCCCAAAGTACAATGTGAAACAGAGAAAATCACAAAGAGAGACAGAGCTTTCTCACCACAGGGGGAAGGTCCTCTTCTTGTCACGGCCCATTCGGTTGCGGTTTATGGTGGTGGAGCAAGGCACAGCATCAAGATGGTGAGAGCTGTTGGGCAGCGTGGGGACCCACTGACTGCTCCTCTTTGCTTTCTGCTCCCTTATAGACAGGAAAAAAACAAACTGTTTAGAAGGTGCACAATCTTACCCAGCATACCAGCCAAACATCAGAGTGGAGGATGCCACCATCTTCCTGACATACACGGTCTTCTCACACCTGGAGAAACAGGGGAGCACTGTGCTTTCAACACCTCAGACTTCCGTTTCAACTCAGGTTGCTGCCACCTCCATTTTGGATACATGAGCTATGTCAATGAGGAGGAGTACAGATGACTGATAAGGAGCTTTATTAAGAGGAGATACAACAATCACCTGAAGCTCAACATCAGCAGTACCAAAGAGCTGGTGGTGGATTACCACAGGAACAGGAGGCCCCCTGTCCCTGTTACCATCCAGGGAGATGAGGTGGAGAGGACTGACTCATATAAGTACCTTAGGGATCAAATCAATAAAAAAATGGAATGGACACACAACACGATCAGTACATACAGTCTAATGCATGGTCAAACAGCATGCTTTGGCACACACATGCATTTAAATCCTGTTCAAGTGGAACTTATACACACAAGCCCAGCTACACTCAGGGCACACTACTTGTAGGCCTAAGTGTTCTATATTGTAACTAGAGATGCACAATAATATCAGCACGTCATCGGCAACGTATCGACTTAAAAACAAACAGAATTGGCCAAAGTGCTTTTTATCATTTTGCACAATGAATGATTATTACATACATTGAAAAGATTTCTAAACTAAGCACAAAAAACTAAGGTAATTTGTGTTTGGTAGATTATTTCTTTATTGTAACAATGCTTCTTGCCAATAAATCTTATACTAATCGAAGGCCTGTTTATTTCCCTTTTAAATGGTGCCACATTTGTAAGGAACATACATTTGTGGGATGAGCACCACAGCTGAGTATGTGGGTTGCACCCAAGACAAATTTGCCAAATCTTCACTGCCAATGCCAAGCAGCTTTTTTTTGCTGTTGCTATTCACTCTTGTTTTGACCTTCTGGTACCCCCAGGTGCTGACAATCAGGTGCCAATCAGGCACCTGATTGTCAGCACCTGTGAGCACGGGCCCTGCTACAGTGGTCAGTTGGTGTCTGCTCCAAGAATCGGCATGCCACATTTGACTGATCCGGATAGGGCCCATGTGATAGGGCAACTTCAAGCTGGTTCCGCAAAACTAAGTTGCAGCATTATTTGGAGTGAGCCCTAGTACCATCTGCAAACTGACGGCCAAGTTCCATATAACAGAGGATGTCAGAGACAGGCCACAAAGTCGGCGTCCCAAGAAGACGGCACCCCAAGAAGACCGTTTCCTTATCCTGTCAGCACTTAGGAACCGTAGGCAGTCTTTTACAGATTTAACAGTCAATGTTTGCAGGACAATATGGCCGACGGCTCTCTTTATTTCATGTCTCCATCTGCTGGTGGGCCATGATGATAAGAGTATTCATGTATAACATGATGTTAATTCCACTACAGAAAAAAACTTAATGATCACTAAGATTAGGTGGGGGAAAAAGTGGATATATCACCATCGGTATAGGTTATTGGTCAAATGAGTTGTCAAATATTAGATATCTGCAAAAAATCCAATATCGTGCATTCCTAACTGCAACGTCTTAGTGAAAGTATATGTGTTTGGCAACTGGAAGGTACTGAGCATATAACTGGATAAATGAGACTTGGATTATACTGCACAAGTTGTGTGAGAGTTTGTAAATGGATGATTAAGTTTTGCTGCTTTTGGTCCCCGTTTACTTTAATTCATGAAGAATGTTTGCCTCTTTTGGATTTTCCATTTACCGTGGAGTATGAGTATGTAACAGTATGAGATTTTCGCAGTAAGATAACCATCTTAGAAAATATCACGGTATCACAGTATTAAACAATTGATCTTATCATCAGTCAGAGTTACCCTTAATGGAATGAAAACGGAAGGATTATTGTAGATTGAACGAGTGATTTATTACTTACTTGAAACTTGAAACCATTTTGTTAATTGAAGTATGCACATAAAGGGGAGATTCTTTGTCCAGTTGCATTTTTTTCAATATCTTAGACAAGTCAATGTACACATTATGATAACCATTTACTTTTATATCACAGTATACCTTGAAACCAGCATATTGCTGGAACCCTTCCGTAGAGGCATGCAAGAAAAACAAAGTTTTCTTCAAATTCAAGATACATGCAGTGAGTAGCTGACATACAAAAGGTCATTTTGCAGGTGAGGTATTCTTTTACTGGTGACTTTCCAATAGACACTTCCACACTGTTAAATGCCCCATGTCCTCCAAATCCCCCACCTCCAGTTTGTAATGCAGGCTTCTCATTTTGTAGTCTTCAAGTCCAAGCTGAGATAACCTTGATGACATCACTATGAATTGATCAGGATTATTTTCTCAGACTTTGGAATACTCCCTTCATGTGTAGAGGCAGTGACATTCCCCTTTAACCTTTGTCTAACTATAGTACAATCCATTTCAGTGCTGTGCAAAGTATTTGGGGCCAGCGTCTGTCTGCCCCTTGATGGTTCACAGGCCAGAGTACAATGAAAATGTGAAATAAAACAGCCATCATTTGATAGAGATTACCTGAGGTAAGCTGGGGGCTCTGTGCTGATGGACACTGCCTTGTACTTCTCATCATTCCCCTCGAAGATTTCTTCACATTCTGATGCCTTCAGCAAAGTAACACTGGTGGCTTCACATAGACAGTAGGCAAGAAAACACACAAACATATTCATTTATGCTCAAATTTGAAGTGGTAAAAATTAAATGCATTATGGCTAAAAATGCTAAGCAGTAGTTATCAATTGCTTGTTAATCACTGTCACCACTACTGTGACAAAACGTTTTTGGATGTTCTGTTTGGGTTAGGTCAACCATGGTAGCTATCTGACCATGTTAAAACCAGTTCACTAGCTTCAGCACCTCCTGTGTGCTAGATGATGAAGTCCAATCAGACTGTGGCTATTTCATCAATTTAAGAAAAGAGGAGATATAGAAGGATAGATAGACTGTAAGTTTTTATTTTACACCTTTTGCTTGAGATAATGTCCAGGATGACACATCACTAATCTGACTAGTCACTTGATTCAAATATATTTTTTCATCTAGTACATTATAAATAATAGAATTCTTTACAGCATCCATTATTAAATCTAAACATTATATACAACCTTTAGACCTTCCAGACCAGGAGTAGTCCAAAGGGACTTTATCAATATCCAATTAAAAAAAACAGACACACCACTGACCATGTGATGATGCTACAATTTTCTTCCTCTCCTCCACTGAGGCCAGTCTCCTCCATAAAGATGGATATCTTTTATACAGAGAGCCTCTGAACATGCGCAGATAGTTTCCAACCTGATGAGCAGAAGGTAGATCATTTAGTTAACCAAAATTTTTAAAAATGGTGAATAAAAGTATGGATGCATAATAATATCGGTATGTCATTGGTATCGACCAATATCAGCTCTAAAATGAACTGATCAGAATCAGCCAACATGCTTTTTCTTCTTTTGCACAATGAATGAATATTACATAAATTGAAAAGCATTCTATTTCACGTCTCCATCTGCTGCTGGGCGATCATGATAAGAGCAGGCATGCATCACTAAAATTAGATGGGGAAAAAAGTGGATATATCGATATTGGTACTGGTTATCGGTCAAATGAGTTGTTATATATTGGCATATCAGATATCAGCAAAAAATTCAATATCATGCATCCCTAACAAAAAAAAAAAAAAAAAAAAAAAGAAGAGAAAAAGAAGAAAGGTTACACAGAGATATTCTGTGATTAAATTAATCAAAAATCAACCATCCAGGTTTTGAGGTGCTAAAAGTTTCTAAGACAAGTTTTTATTATCTGTCTTTCAGGACAGTGCAAACTGCTTACATAAGCACTGAATTAAAGTAAAGAGTATGAACTCCCCTCTGACATTGCCATGTTTTTTTTCTATAAATCGTGTTTTTGACACAGATCAACAGAAAAAAATTGTTACAAAATATGTATAATTTAAGTACCATTATAAAAGATTAAATAACTAATTTTCCAAGGTATTTTGTCTTCTTTCAAGTAAATACTGAGGAGAGGAAACTTTGGCAGCAGTTACAGCTGTGATTCTAGGTAAATAGTTCAGACTCAGCTGCAAAAGCATGGACACTTAAGTTTCTCCCTCACTCTTCTCTCTAAAATTACTCAAGCTCTATCAAGTTTCACCATGAGGATTCATTTGGATTTTTGTCTTGCTGGGATTAAAATCTCCTCTTGAGCTAAAATTCGTTTGCAGACCTCACGGTAACAGGTATTCCTGTCCGGGAATTCTATGTATTTTAAGACTTCACGGGCCTGCTGCAAAGAAGCATCACCAAGCTTCATGGTAGGGACGATGTGTCTCTGCCTTTTTCTGATGTCATCTTTCACATACAGCAAGCAGAGTATTTAGTTTGATGGTCACCAAGCTAAACTTCTCCAGCCATAGAGGTTTTTAGTTCCTTTGGAACTCTGCTCCAGAGTCTCTTTCATGCCATCTAGTATAATGAGACAGTGTTTATCTTAAAGGGACAGTTCACCACAAAATCAAAAATCATTTGTTTCCTCTTATCTGTAGTGCTATTTATCAGTCTAGATTGCTTTGGTTTGAGTTGCTGAGTGTTGGAGATATCAGCTGTAGAGATGTCTGCCTTTTCTCTAATATAATGGGACTAGATGGTACTCAGCTTGTGGTGCACAAAGAGCCAAAAAACTATAAACTATTAACTCTTTTCTTTCTGCCAAACTACAACCGCCAACCGTATCACTGCACAGAAGGAAGCATATATTTACAAATGGATGGAAGGCTCGTCACTGTGACAACATTAGGTGTAAAAAAATAATGTCGTCCTTCTAAGTTGAGCTGTCAATGTTAGCTGAATAATAATTAAAAAAAATCTTTGTTTCAGTTGGGTGGACTGGGCAAGAACAGTGCAGCGATACTTGGTAGATAATCGGAGTCCAGCAGAGAGACCTCAGCTTACTTTTGTAGAAATATGTAGCCCAGAAAGCAAAAGGAATTACTAGCCAATCTAATCACATCCTGTCTAGCGAATTCATCTTATTGCCCTCAGGCTGGCGTTACAAAGCACCCATTAGGAAAAAAAATCGCTACTCCAAGTCCTGTATTCTTTCTGCTACCAGGCTGCTAAATGTTGACAGTAGCCTTTTCCACTGAATGCCTTATTTTGTAACCATATAGTGGGGTCACTCTGTGTCTGGTGGATACATCGATATCAGTATTGGTTATCAGTCAAGTAAGTTGTTACATATCGGCATATCAGATATCTGCAAAAAATCCAATATTGTGCATCCCTACATTCAACAAATGTAGTTAAGTAATGTGCAATGCACTACAATGTTTATTTGTATTTACTGATTTATTCATTGATTTGTGTAAATTATTATCTTTGCCTGTTGCTCCTGTGAGTCAGTAGGCACATGACCACACCAAGTGCCATTGTGCATCTTTGGCCCATGTATTGATCTCTCTGACATATTATCACTGTTGATTGCTGCTTGCTGTTTGTTTCTGCCTGTGAGTTTGTATATGGTCTGGGTAGATTGTAAAACTGAATTGCCCTTCTAGGTTAAATTAAGCTGTATGAACTAAACTGAACTGAAATGATCCGCTTGGCAAGTCAAGTTCAATAGAAAGATAATAGTTCCTACATCAAACTGCTCACAACAAGGTCTGTGGTTTATCTTGAGTAACCAGGTCATGATTTCTGGAAAGAGACACTGCTGTTGAGTTTTGCAAATGTATTCTTTTGGCACTTTGAGCATCACAAGCAGAGTGCCATCTAGTTCCATTATACTGGAGAGAAGGAATATCCCCAACACTCGGCAACTCACACCAAAACTATCTAGACTGATTAACAGAACTACAGGTAAGAGGAAAAATACGCGTTTTTGATTTTTGGGTGAACTGTCCCTTTAAAGTCAAACTATAGATCACTTATTGGGTGGACCAATGGGCGCAAGTTGGAGACATTCTTAAATACACCCTCTTTTATAAAATGTTTTACGCCCCATGACCTGGTACTTTGCTTTTCTGGTCTTTCAAACTTACACTTCGTATAACAGAGCTCCGCAGACTACTGTAGACATTACTTTTCTTTTCAATCAACATTATACCGTTAAGTGGTTTAGCTTCCGAATTGGTATGCTCAACTATCAGACGTGGATAAAGACAGACGGGGTGATACACTTTATAATAATAACTCTTTTTCACGTTTCTTCACGTTGATGTAACTTGGTGGTCTGGCACAACTACCCTCTCTCTATAGCACGTTGGTATTAGAAATCCCTGTAAAACAGAAAAAGCTGTTCGCTTATCTGTTACTTATATGATATTGAATAGCTTAAATTAAATTGGATTAGCCGGCTGCTGGCCTGACTTTAACCGGCTATATCCCGTTCCTCATTTATGGGTATTTCTTTGTTTATGAAGCCATCAATGGGGTTGGTTAGCATGCTAGCATTAACTAGCCAGAGGAAGAGATAACTGAGGCTAACACAAAGTTAATGTATAGATAGTCACATACCTCTGAGCCAACCATGTAAAAGTCTCCATCTTGTTCTAATTGAAATTTCACTGGTTTCTGTCCAAACGTTTTACTTAAAGCCAATTGCATCTTTACGCAGTCGCTAACCAGCTAACTAATGAGCAACCTTCTCTTCTTCAGACGTGTTTGAGGCATACGATAAAGATGGGAATTTGAGTATCCTCCTTGAAAATAACGTTCACCTCAATTTTTTTGCATTAAAAAAAGCCAGTTAGTAGCATGTCTGCCCAACACGTGTTAAAAATCTATGAAGACAAACTATAAGTAACTGAAACTACAACCACTGCTGGACATATTACGCTTTAGAAAGTGTGTAAGGTCAACACATTCGTGATATGGCTTTAAAGTCTTTGTGGAGTGGTTTTGTCCGAAAATCATGAACGCTGCATTGGCCTTACTCTTCGTTTCAAGGTAGAGGAACTATTTCTATAGTCCATTACCGCCCTCTAGCGATCAAAAGTGAGATCTTTTTTTTTTCTTTTTTTTTAAATCCTGAAGTTCATCTGGCATTTCCAACTCATTGGAAATTAGCTAACGTGCGATATTACAATAAAAACGCAATATTCAGTTGGACCACAACAAAACACGTGAAGCACACATATAGGATTGAGATGTATGACTGTAAACATGATGTAAAACAGTGCATTATGTAGATTGTAGCTTGGTTTCCATGACACCCACTAATACAGATGGATATAATGTCATTTATATCTGTAACAGTGATATGCATTGCCATTTGTATAGCAGTTTTTTCAAGATTACTGAGAAGTGAAAAATACAACAGAATACTATCAGCTACAAGACAAAAAAACAAAACAAAACTATTACTTCATTACAGTCTGTTACTCATCTCAGCCTGCTCAACAGTCAGATTATTAGAATCTCAGTTTAAAGCCCATATATTTTTTGACCCAGTGCATTCATAATTCAGCAAAGTTTTCAATACTACTCTTAATTTTACACGTGTCATCAAATCTCAATTTCATTTATCCCCTCTCAAGAGCAACAAACATACTCCAAACATCAAACATTGTTTCCAAGGATTTATAATCCACCTTCCCACATGCTGTTGGGCCAGTAAACTGGATCACATGGTAACATTTAAAAAGAAAAAAAGCGAAAAATCCAATAAATAAGCCAAAAGTATTGTCACATAGAAATAATAGGCAATAATTGTCCTTTTTGTGTATTACATACCTACATGAATCTGATTTAAGGCTGTTTTTATAAAATGAAATAAAAAGGCATACAGCTGTGAAAAAAACTGAAGGTGGATGAGAAGCTGAAGTTGAGGACAGTTAGAATCTTAATATTTGTAGATCACAATGGCTTGCTGTGTACAGAGAATGAAGCAACAAGAGCAACTTTGGTTTCATGCAGTGCTACCACAGTTCAAAGAGATGAAACCAAAGCATCATTTGCCACACACACATTTATTTATTTTTTTAGAAAAGTGAAATGAGAAAAAAAAATGCACTCGGCATCTGAATTAATTCAATTTGCTATTTTACTGCTGTCATTTTTTCTCTTTCGTATGACAACTGTATATCAAATTTTTTTTTGGAGATGAAGACAAACATCACTCAAGCCCAAAGGCTCACCATCCAGAGTTCAATCCGAGCAGCTTGTGTTCTCCCAAATAGTCTTAGAGCAACAATCTTGCATCAAGAAGAGTTTCTGGGGATGATTTAAGCCCATACACAAAGACAACAGACGGTTATCCTCAAACCAGCTCTGGTTGTTTGGCATTCTTCATCCAGAACTAAACAAACAAGTCAAAAACAAAGACCATGTTTGTCCCCTTCACCTCTCTGAGGGAATGTCCTTGGAAGTGACCTGACAATCAGGGACGATCGAGGGGCATATTTAACCTCCAAGGCGCTGTCCTTCACCCCAGGCAAACCCTCCCGGGCGCTCCTCAGGCAGGGGGTTGTAGTTGGCATCTTCTTCTGGTGTGTCAAACAGCATCTTTCTGTGGGAGACACACAGAGGAGGAGGATGAGAGGTTTTCTAAAAATTTCTAAAGGTGGGCACAGTGTCAGACATTGAAAACCCCTGATTTGGTGCAGTCATCAAGCTAAATCTGTGTTCACACACAAAATCTCATTGGCAGATGGCCATAGATAGATATCTAGATAGCTAGATAGAGAGCGAGAGCGAGAGCGAGAGCTAGAGAGAGAGAGAGAGAGAGAGAAAATGCACAATTAACAAAGTTAAAGATGAATTTTACTGATGACATTATTATTATTTCTTTCTTAAAAAAATCTATAGACATCATGATAATACTGTTATTGTGAGACTCACATGATAGATGGGGTCTTGAGCCATCTACCACCACCTGGCTGGTTGGGAAAAACATCCTCCAGAAAGAAGTACACATGACCAACAGCAATACCTCAAGAAAGGTTAAGAACAACAACATTTTAACACAAGCGCTACTCATACTGTAAACCACCAACCATACCAGTTACCTCTGGCATATGACTGAGGTACTAAATAATGGTTGCAGATGATGGTGGTAGGTACCTAAAAGATCCACAATGATGGAGTTGCCCAGCAGGAGCGAGAATCCCATCAGGACCCAGGGAAGGAAGGGTGCCTGGAAATTCAGCAGGCCAAAGAAGTTCATGCGGACATTTGGGTTTCGTCGACTCCACACGTACACCAGCATGATAGTGAAGGCTTGGCCCAGAAATACCAGACTCACAAAAGTGCCAAATATCTGAAGCCTTGTTAAGGAACATGACAAAGAAATGAACCCAGATCCCAATCTGATCAAGCATTCCTGGGATGTGCTGGTAACCCACCCGCAACCTGGAGGACTCAAAGGATCCACTGTACTACATATGTTGTTTCAATACATCTAAGAGACTACAGAATGTAAAAACAGTTCTTTTGAATATTCACTAAAAAGAGGACACTTGAAAAATCTATACTTCTGAAATATTATACCAAAATCAAAAGGTTATTACACATACATTTTCATTAAAATGGATCGAAATTCCAGTTTGCTAAGAGAAATATCAGCACTCAGGATTTCAATTAAATGGTCTAAGATACGTTGCTTATTGAGGTTGCTTAGCAACCTCTGACGCAACCTGCCGCCGCCCTCTTTAAAGCTGACACAGAAAAGACACGAGTAGCAGCACCCGACCTCATGTTTTTCCGGGATTTAAAGATGCAGCATGTGTAGGCCTACTGCCCCTAAAAGTGATGGAATTAAAGTTTAGTATTCATGACATCAGTGACAGCTGATTGCAATGAGTGATTATTATTATTAGGGATGCAAGATAATATTATCGATATCGTCCAATATCGGCTTCAAAATGAACAATCGGAGTAAGCCAACATGCTTTTTCCTATTTTGCACAATAAATGAATATTATGTACATTAAAAAGTATTGAATTTCATGTTTCCATCTGCTGGTGGTCCATCACAATAAGAACATGCATGCATAATATCAGTGTTTCCCACAGGATTTTGGGAAACTATGGGGGAGGGGAAGAGACATTCCTCCTCCTCACCCCCCCACGGAAGAAAATTTTGAATATTGTAAATTGAAACTGAAATCGATTTGTATACAAAATGTACAGGAAGGTAAAATCATCAAGTTTTGATAAAGTATTGCAATTTAATTTTGTCTTTAATGTTATTATCTTACATTATCTTTGTAATATGATTATCTTATATAATGTTATTACTATCCTAAAACATTCTCCGGGTCCTCTGTAACTCTGCAGGACTTATTTCCACCCTGCCCAGCAGCAGTACCGTGGCGAATGGTCCCTAACTGCGGGGAGAACGGAGCAGGCTTCCCCGGAGGTTCGCCGCTTTTCCCGGTCCCTCTTCTCCACACTTTGGGCTCTAGTTTCGCAGTCCGGGCGAGGCGGGGGCGCAGCGCACCTGCGCTTCGCCAACTGGGTATGGCCAGGCGGATTTTGCAAGTTTGGCACACCGTGCGCGCTGGCGCAGCTACTCGTCTGTCCCGCCTCCGTCCCTCCTACCTGCGCAAGTCGGAAAGAGGGAGGAGAGAAGGCGTGGAGTGGGTTTTACACACATCACACCAATCAAATGAGTCCCTCTCCTCACCCTTAAATGTGCCACACGAAGGCGTAATGAGAGTTTACTCAATTCGCCATGGCAGAAGAGAGCAGCAGCGTCAGACGGACAAACTTCTCCCAGGAGGAAACTGATGTTTTGGTCCGGGAGGTCCAAGCTCGCAGTGTCCGAATATACGGAACTGCGGGCAGACCTCCAGTCCTCCAGTCTCCAGTTCCAGACCTGACATCAGATGTGACGGGACAGTCGATATAGAGATACATTTATGTGCTGATTGCAGATAGTTGCTAGATTGTGGTTTTGTGGCTATTTATTGCATTATTAATGTGCCTGATATTCTGGAAACCTGCCTGTGAGGTTTTGGTGACGTGTGCGCACTGTCAGCCGGTCAGCCAAACTTCGGCTCACACCGGCTGCGCTCCGCCTGCGCTGACAGTAGACCTGGTTTCAGATGGCGAGCTTTTAGCGCACCTTCGGCGAAGCCTTTTGGCACGAAACTGTCACTGCGCCAAGCTGGATCTGTCGACACCTCCCTCTGCTGCGCCGCCACACCCATCTCAGCGCACCTCGGTCTGCCAAACTACCAAACTGAGCGCGCCTCGGGTTGCGCTGCTCGAAACTAGCTTTGCGCGGGGTTCGCCACCCTGCGCTGCGCCGGGAAACAAGAGCCCTTTGACTTATTTCCACCCAGCCGACAGTGGGACTTACATTCATTGTGCCGACAGTGGCTTGGAAAACCACCCATAACCGTGTCACACGGGGAAGAGGGAAGGCGGCTGGAGGTCCTCCAACATTTGCGGTTAGATTATCATATTTTTTTATTGACAAAAATACAGGCTGCTTCGGCTGATTTTTTTTATGCGCACATGTGCCCCTAAATATTTTTTACAGTTCGCACACACTTATTTTTAGTCGAGTGAAACGCTCGCACTGTCGAGCGCTGGATCTGACAGCCTGAGCACATCGGCACAAAACGCTACAGCTTTCGAGATATTGTTTATATCATGAGAAGTCAATACTTTCGGCAGCCTGAATCTTTTATTAAGAAACTATGACGGGTCAAATTAAACTGTCGTTAATTAATGGGAAACACTGTAATATGATGTCAATTCCATACAGAAGAGACTTGCTGATCACTAATATTAGTTAGGAAAAAAGTGGATATATCGATATCGGTATTGGTTATTGGCCAAATAAGTTGTTATATATCAGCATATCGGATATCAGTAAAAAATCTATTATCCAAAATCCATATCATTACCAATCCAGTTATCATCCAGAATAAGGTTTAAGAATAAGCTGCAGTTTTACATAGTGCAGTACCTGCTGGTGACAACTGCCACTGGTGCATTTTGAATTTTATGCGGAACATACTATATGTCAGTGAAAACTGTCATTCAGACATATTTCTCGACAAATAATTTAAACACAATGTATCAGCAAGCCATGCATACAAAGAGGGCCACTCTACTACGCAGCATTAACTCACTTTGGATGAAGGAAACTGAGTAGATGAAGGTGTTGGAGCTCTATAGTTGGATGAAAAACTTTAATTGTCATGGCATTTCAACCACTCATAGTTGCATGAATCAAAATTGATCTAACTAGCAGGAAATATACAATAAGCAGTTATTATGAGGTAAGCAGTGGTGAGTAAGACACAAGTGGCATGCCGACTTCATGTGGCCAAAGCAGTGGCATATGGCAGTAAGAATTGTCATATGCTGGTAGGTAATGTCATGTGCCCCGTGAACAACACTGAGATACTTGTCCATCAACCAGCAATGTATCACTAGGTAAAATGGCATACCATTAACAATGAGCATATGGCACACCACAGGCATATGACTGTAAAAAGTGACAAAAGTGGTGCACACAGCAGCAGCATATCATTATCAGGAGCCTACCACAGAGAAATCAGCATATGTCACTAAAGCAAGATGGGAAAATACCATCAGCTATTTTTTTTTTTTTTTTTTTTTTTTTTTTTTAAATCTCTGCATCACTCACTATTAATTTGGCAGCAGGGATGCAGGTGCAGTGTATCCAACAAGCTTGTGGTTCGAAAAATGATAGTTTCATAAAAATCTAATATTTCCTGTACACAGTTCAACTGCTGTGCATTGTTAATGGATCAATACTAAGTAGCTACTACCTTGGTAGCCTGCGATAAAGAAGAAATCAAAAGATGCAGAGAGTAGATTTTTACTGACCCATAACAGCATCACACACAAATAACACAGGTCTGTGGAAGTTAAAGGATACAATACCGAGGTCAATGTAAGAAATAATTGAGTTACTGGTCATAGAATTGTTCACTAAAGACATCATTATCTGTATGTAAACATGTTTTTTTAATGAAACACTAATGGGAAGGATACAGTCATCAGAAGCCCACCAAAGAGGAACATGAAGACAAAGTCAGCCGTGCGTCCCCTGAAAGAGCCCTCCTCTAGCATACGACAGTATCTGTACCTGAAAGTAAATGGTTGAGGAAATCTACACAGAAATTATGCTAGAACCATTTTACAGTTGTTACCATTACCAGCTAAATACTTAAGACCTGCCACGTCATACACATTTGTTTCATTAGTTTGGTTGACTGTGCATCTTACAGCATGTATCTCTATAATGTGTATTTGCAAAGTTTCACCATCCCATCTCTGAAACCATGTCAGCCTTCCCCTGTGAAACAAAAACATGCAAACACACTTCAAATGCTCCATGAAGTGAGACACAGAACTGAGAAGGATACAGAAAAATCATATTGAACAGGAAATTGAAGCCAACCGGACCAAAAAACAGGAAGTTGGTTATTAGTCGCCATACCTACAAAAAGAGAAATAAAGAGAACATTCAGCTGTACATAACATACACACTTGGGCTGGGTGATATGTTCTGAAAATTATTTCACAATATTTTTCATCTATATCTTGATGCACAATATATATCTCAATATTTTTTTAAATCTCCTCAACAGTACTTCATTAATTATAAGTTTTATTTTATTAGTGATGAGAGGCAAGGTTTAACTGCTCAATGTCCGGCAGCTAGTTGAAATAGTTATGTGAGGAAGACCACATGACATGTAAATGATAATGAATAAAGCTCAGAGCAGTCTGAGGCAGAAACCTAATTAACTGTGTAGGGAAAACTGAAAGAACAAATTATAACTGATATTAATCTTGATGTAATAAACCACTGTCAGTTTAGGAAAACCACATGATGGATGTCTGTTCGTTTTTTCAACAAAGGTAATCGATTCAGTGTAAATGTTGCATCATATAACACTGTTTTAACTTAAAGTCCAGCTGAAATCACATTAGTCATCCTTTTTGTTGTCAAATAATGTCAACGTGTTCTTTTTACTTGTATTGATAATGATTTTTTAAAGAATTTTTTTTGGCTGTTTTGCCTTTTATTGATAGGACAGATGTACATCGACAGGAAAGGTTGGAGAGGGAAGGGGAATGACATGCAGCAAAGGGCCACAGGTCGCAATAAAACCCAGGCCACTGCAAAGGACTCAGCCTATATGAGGCGCACACTCTACCAGGTGAGCTAGAGAGGTCGCCCTGTCGTTTTTCTGCTTGATTGACAGCAGCTGACAGGCTGTCAGAGTGCAGGTGTTAGATGTTTGTCACTGACCTCACTGCTTTATATAAGATTTGATTGGCTGCATCAAAATAAGGCTGTGTAGATTGATACTTACAATCCTGTCAATCTAAAGCAAAACTAGGAGGAACCATCATGAAACCAAAACAGTTTTTGGTTTCTTTTCTAAAAGTATAACACAGGACATATACATAGCAGATAGAGGTGTAGCAGACAAATTGATGCAACTTCATTTCAGCTGGACTTTGACACTACTTTTTGGTGAACTTAGACAGATTGCTGAAGTTATTAAGCCTGTGAAGTTTATGAAAAGTTAGAGTATGGGCCCTGAATCTTCCCGAGGATGAGGATGAAGATGAGCAGTGGGTCAGGTTGCTTACCTGATAGTTCCTTAGAATTAAATCCGGATTGAAGTATAGCTGAAATGGTGTAATGATCTCTAGTTGCTGTGAGAGAAGACAAAACAAACATGTTAAAGATGGTAACAACAATGATACAGATGAATGATCCAACTTCAAATAACATTAACATACATCTGACAAAAAAAAACATAAAAATGTTAAACCCTCGCCTCAAAGAAGAAACTCTCTCACTCTATTGCGTGATGTGAATTTGTATAAATGAGCCTTTTCTGCTTTCGCTCTTAGTTAAAATAAGGCATTGACATGGATTTGTAGGGAAGCCAGTATCTTCACAGAGGCAACTTTTGGGGCCTGTTTCAGAAAGCAGGTTTAACAAACTCTGAGTCTAATACTGAACTCTGAGTTGATGGACCCTGAGAAGGAAAACTCAGGGTTATCAGTTTCAGAACAGCTGCTCAGTCAGTTGAACTAGTCAGTTCAATCAACTCTGAGTATGTCCACTCTGAGTTAAGCTTGTGCACAGTGAATGAAAAAAGTCATCATCAATGGAGCTCTGATGCTACGATTCACCGTGGCAACAGGTAAATAAAAGGCAGAGCAAGTGCACTCGATATGCTCTTTCATACAGACTGAATGAGGAAATAAAACAGCTTGTCTGGCTCTGTAAGAAGGAGGAATGAGACAGAGACAAACTTGGGGTTTGTTGAAGAAAACCTGCTAGTGAGCAGATCAGGTTCAGAGTCAATAACCCCAGTAACTGACCACAGTAACCATAGTACCACAGTAATCACTTTAACTGACCCAGAGTTTAAGTTACCTCACTTTCTGAAATGGAAAAACACAGTTTCCCTCATCTCAGGGTTTTCACTAATCCTGCTTTCTGAAATAGGGCCTTGGTACCAAATCCCACACTAAACAGAATATGGTTTACATGACTAATCCATATACCGCCCAGTTGACATATTCTGTTTTTTTTTGTCATACACAGGTGATTGGCATATTCTACTTAGTATAAACTGGGTAAAGTGTTTACATATAACCTCATTGAATGCGTGCATGTATGTATATGCACTCACTATTGCACACAACACACTCTTATCACTTGGTTTAACAAAAACACATTAAAATCTCTCCATTAAACCTGTAAGCAAATGTGTCTGCACACAGAAAAGATTGTGTACATGCACACATCTGCATATGCAAGGGTGCAACAAAAGACTGAGACTTAGCAGGTGCTAAGTGGCTAATTCTGGAGGCAGTTGTTGAGGTTGTATGGCTATGAAAATTTGACATAGTGAAATAAAAAGGGACATTATGAAATGTGACATCATGTTATAAAAAGAGGCGTTAAATAAAAGTGTTATTGGAAAACACCATAATGTAATAAAAACTTTGAAAAGGGACATTTCAAAATGTAAAATGCTACCATGAAAGAAAAAGTAAATTCTTTAAAACTGAAAATGACAATGATAAACTTTAGAAATACAGACTGGAGTTGGAAAACTTTCTTTAATTATTTCAAAAACTGTTATTTCATTTATTCATTTATTATTCACTTATTTATTTCATTATTTGTTTACACATTTCTGAACAATTTGGGCCTCCATACTTCACATCCAGTTTTTACATAATATGCAAGTACATTGTATCCCTTCTTCTCTGGGCAGATACTAAGTTTATATAAAAATAGATTGTATCTACAACTCAGAAGAAGCCAGAATTTTAATTTAGAAATGTTTAACTAATTATTCCTTTAGTCAACATAAAGCTGTGGCAGGTTAAAAAAAAGACTCCTCTGTAGCAAATGACTCTAACAGCTAGTTTAGCAGGTTTATTTGAAGCTATTTTGTGCCTTGTACACTGAGCTGACAGCACACTGTCTGGGGTGTACTCTCTATGTGCTACTGTGTGTAGTAAGTGTGATTTCTGGCTGTACTATACAGTAATCAACAATAAAATACAATACAGTAAAAAAATGAAAATTTAGAGGTAACCAACCCTTTAATCTACATTATTATTCAGACATGGAAAGGGAAATAAAATAAGTACCTTTAACTTAGCAGTGTACTTGAAACAATTTTCAGGTACTCTCTCTGATACTTTTTACATCTGCTTTACTTCAGAGGGAAACTCTGGACTGCATAAGATATTGTCAGCTTGAATGATTAGTTACTTTGCAGATTCAGATTTTCTGCCAACATATATGATCAGCCTACAGCCTAACAGTGATCATATGTTTCACTTCCTCCATGGTTATCTCCTCCACTTAAGTTGACAACTAGAGAATTTTAGAGATCCCTGTAGCCAAATCTTTTAAAATGGGTGTCACATTGATACAAAATCATCATCTCATATATGAAAGGAATACTACACCCACAAAAATGACCACTTGTGTATCGATTAGTCATACCATGTGAGCTGGAATTTGTGAAGAAAATTTGGTTTTCTCGCATGCTTCCATGGAAAACTGTAAACATACTGATTTAATGATTGATTGGAGACTGCATTAAACAACAGCAAAACTATATCAAAACATGTGTTAACAAACTCTCACACAACTTGTGCAGCATAATCCAAGTGTCATTTATCCAGTGGTATGCTCAGTACTTCGCAGCAGTTGCATTTTTGGTAAAAACCTTAGTACTGGTGTCTGGCTTTGATCATAGATAAGTTTCACTTTCAGTACAGTTTTAAATAGAAAGGGTGCTTTCACATCTGTAGTTGGGTTAATTGGGTCCACACCAGAGAGAAAAAACTATACAGTGTTGCATTTTAGTTTTGGTTCAGTTCCTGTTCAAACTGACTTTTTGCAAATTAATCAGGAGGAGTAAACATGAAATTCTGACAGGTAACTGAGTGGACAGTTTTGGTGTTTGTTGTCCTGCATCGTCAGAACCCACATGAGAAAATCAAATTCTGGTGACTCACAGAGGTTTCTGCCGCAGCACTTAAATGCTTGTAATGTGTTTATATTTATGTTGTTTGGTTTCAAAAAGAGTGGATAGAATGGATACAGCATAGTATCGCAATATTTTTGTGTGGCCGTATTGCATCGACACACAGTGCCAAGTATCAATTTTTTAAATAACTTTAGGTTGCGTACTTGAATAGTTTAATTAATTGCTTTTTCAGTCCACTAGCTACATTTTGCTGCAAATAAAATGACTGAAGTGAGACAAACAGACTGAAAACTATATCTTATTTGATGTTGAAAAAGTTTTCCTTTGGGGACATAATATACAGTTGAAAAAAAAGGTAATAAATCCCAATATATTGCAATATATTTTATTGCAATACTCAGTAAACTGCAACACCTTTATCGCAATAATATTGTATTGTGACCAAAGTATTAGGATAATATCACATTGAGGAACCTCTGGTGATTCTCACCACTTGTACAGAGCATGTGACTGAAAAATGAAATTTGGATTATATGGCACAAGATATGTGAGAGTATGTCAACAGCTGTTTTTGATATAGTTTTGCTGTTGTCAGACATGACCCCAATCAACCAATAAATCAATATGTTAGCCGTTTTGGGCATGTGAGAATAACAACGTTTTTCTTCACAAATTCAAGGTAACATGGCATGACTGACTAATATACAAATGTTCATTTGTGGGTGAAGTATTCCTTTGATGCACCAATAATAATAAAGAAAGTATTTCAACAGAAATACCACAAAGATTGACAGTTTTGTGCTATCAATGATGTTACTTTTGATACTACTAAAACCCTGATGAAGACGGTCTAGTCGAAACGTTGGTACTTGAATAAAACAAAATATTTTTGCATCGAGTCTTAGAGTGTGCGCCTGACATCTTTTTTTCAAATTTGTCAGCACCTCTCCAACCCTGGTGTGCGCTCCTCCTTTCTCTTCACTTTTGATACTTTGCCTGTTTTCAATTGATAACAATTCTGTACCTTAATAGGCAGATAGAAAATACGCATGCAATAACATAAAGTGTATTACAAAATAACATTTGTTTCTAACGATACATTAAGATATTTAGTTACGTTTTACAGAGTACAAAGACATACATTAGTTTGGTTTAGCCAAATTTTGACAGAAGTTTGGTGTGGGCTCCTCTAAAGAGAACAGCAATGGTTACAGATATGGTTGTATGTGGAAGCATTAACTGCTAAAGACATAACAGCAGTAGCTTGTGAGCCTTCCGGAAACTAACATTACCACGCTACTTAAACGCAACTGAGCGTATCCTTCCACTTTTAGTTCACGGGTTAAAATTAAGCCAAGACTCCGGTCACAGGTAGCTTTGCCTTTAGTTTTGTTTGTGACTTGAAGTGAGTTAACATCCTGGATCATAAGATTCGGACACGTATCCTTTTCACAGGTGCTATGGCTAAACCACCGAGCTAGCAGCACAGTAACGACGTTAACGTAGCTATGATAAGCAGCACCAAGCTTTGCCCCAGCCGACACAGTGAACATGTGAATTTGTCTTACCACTGCAGCAGTTGTGAGGACACAGGCGGTTGTATATGCCCTGGTAACAACCGGAATCTGTAAGTACTCCTGTTGTAGTGTCTGGTAAGCCATTTTGGACAAACTGAATGCTTCCGGCACTTTCTTGACACGTCATTCCACAACGCGAAGGGTGTTGCGTTCAAGCACATGCGATAAAAAATGCAAAATATCTACAACAGTATGGCAAGCCGTTTTAACATTTAATCGTTAGATTGGATATTCATTACTGATATCTGCAACAAAAATAGTTTGAATCTGCCTAGTCAAAACTCTTATTCAAGATACCTGTAATTAGATTTTGACTAGTCAAAACTCTAATTACAGATATCTGTAATTTAGTTTTGACTAGTAAGATGCAAACTATTTTTGCCATTCATGTGTATGGGGTTTGTCATTATAGATATCTCCAATGTAGTTGCGGATATCTACAATTGTTATTTCGGATATCTGCAACTGAATTGTAGATATCTGTAATTCCAGTTTGAGATATCTACAATTTAATTTTGACTAGTCATAATTCAAGTTCAAGATATCTTTAATTATCATCAATTGAAGATATCTACATGGTATGGCAAGCCGTTTTAACATTTAATCACTAAGTTTGACTATCCGGAATTACCATTATAGATATCTATAACGTCATTTTGACTAGTAGTAATGTCATTGTGACTAGTATGAATTTTAATTTAAGATATCTGTAACGTCATTTTGACTAGTAGTAATGTCATTGTGACTAGTATGAATTTTAATTTAAGATATCTGTAACGTCATTTTGACTAGT